GTGGTTTTCTCCTCCTGTCTGACTGTGAGGGATTCTTCTTCCTCACATGGCTGCAGATTAAAACTAAACGTTCACATGAAGCCAGTTATCGAATTGCTAAATTAACCCAGCGTTTAATCTGCATGAAGGGGCGGGGCTCTGAACACGGGGCCTTCATGTGATTTTTCTTCCACAGGAAATGAGCCCTGAGTGTCACCCACTCCAAAGGCACAGTGTGATTAAAATCTATAGAGGTAGAAGATAAAAGACGAAATGCATCATTGTTGTAAAAAGCATGAGAAGCTACACTACAGTTTGTGTCTGAGCGCGCTCAGTGCTGCTGTTTGTCTCTAAGGCGACCGACGCACATTTCGTTTATTTATTCCACACATGGTTGAACAGTGTTTCATTTCCTTCATACAAATCCTCCTTCCCACATCAGAGGCTTTAAACTGGATCCATGAAGCCAGATGATGGAGGCGTGGGAATCAGAGCAGAGGGAATGAATGTGATTGGCTGAACAGGTATCCAGGTGTATCCTGTGTTTGAAGCAGTGTGACAGACTCCGCAGCAGAGCTGAGGAGAACAACGTTTAGACAGGAGAGGCTCATTAACACACGGATATTACCGTGAGCGTGCAGCGCACAGCCCCCGCCTCATTCAGCTGCATGTCTGAAACATCCCCCCCCAGCAGAGAATCTCCTGGAAACAGGTTGCAATAGAGGAATCAGTGAACTCCAGACCAGTGAAACTTCTCTCAGCTGCAAACTCGCTTCTGTTTAAGAGATTGACAGCAAAGATTAAACACAAAAACACAAAGTTTATATGAGGCAGTGTAGGTCTCCTGTTGGTTAACGTGGTTTCTGTCTTCTGCTGAGATTTCTAGTTCTTGGTTTTTGGTTCCCATGTTCTCTGTTTCAAAGGCAGTGATGTCTCAGGGTGAGTCTGTGTCTTTGCATGTGTGTCGTGTTTCCTGTTTTACTTTGAAGGTTCGTGTCTTATGTCAGTGTATTCTGTTTTGCTTCCTCCCTGTCTCATCATGTTCAGTTAGGTTCAGTTGTGTCTCCCCCTGTTTATATTTACTGTGTGTTGTCCTTTGCTCTTCGTCATGCCCCGTGTCACCCCTCCTCTCGGTCTCCTCACGCTTCCAGGTTTTCAGGTCCGTGTTTGGTTTTAGGTTCTGTTCGCTCCACGCCAGTCATTTCCTGTTTTGTTCGTATGTCACAACTGTAAATAAAAGCTCAGTCTCAGCTAAGTCGGTGCCTGCACTTGGGTCCTTTCATCTGTTCACCAGTATAGGGACTAACGCCTTATTAAGTAATGCATTACAGTAACTACATTATTATTGTGGTAATGAGCACGGTAACTAGTTATTATGCCAAAATCAGGAACGCGTTAATCGTTACTGGGATTTAGATAGGCTCGCGCTAAACAACTGCAGCATGTTTGATCAGCTGTTGTTAGAATTTATTTAATATTAGTTTCTAGTATCAGCTGATGTTTGCTGGAGCCACAGCTGTAAAGCTGCTGGTCATGATGGTTTGGATATGTGGTGAGAGGGAAACATGAAGATGAAACCAGGAGATGTCCTTACTGAATCATCAGAGCTGTGATGGAGAAACAGGTTTACCTTTTAGGTGACATGAATGAGTTGAAGTTATGAACTGTTTCTGAGAGACAAATAACACCAGGATCCTTTTCTAAGTAGCTGACAGCTGGTAACTGTGCAGGGGCGGGTCTAGCAAAGGTTTGCCAGGGGGCAGGTAGGGCATTAACAGGGAGAGGTGGGCACAAAGAAATACTTTCTTATTCTAATTTAAAATGTCTCGCTTTAAAAAATAATTATCTGAATCTTACAACAAACGATTGATAGATTGATGCATATATACCATCAGAACAGTGTACATCACTGTCACAACAGCGTTTGTTTTCATTCAAAGGCTTTATGGTTTTTCCTATAATGGTGGCCGGTCAGTCAAAACGCCCGGGACGATTTTCTGTCCCAGTCCAGCCCTGCATGCAGCTCATCTGCAGTCTGGAGTTACCTACATCTTCCTATTCAGAAGGCAGAATTTCAGAGTTCTGAGTACAATCAAAGCACCACGACTGCAGTTTTTGTGTTGGATGTAAAAAGTGCACATGACGCTGTGACGTAGGCTAGAATCATGGCGGCGGTCAACGACGGTCCAGGCGTGGGATTTCTCTCGTGGAAATATGAACATTATCTTTTCCTTTCTGTTGGTAGGTGGCACAGAACACATGTGGAAAGTAAGCAAGCTAGAAGACTGTCAGTCTGGCTGGTATCCAGCTATGGAAGCAACACATTAACAAGAGAATTCTGAGTTAAACCAAAGTTACTTTCCCTAGTAACTAGTTACTCTGAAAGTAACGAGTAACTTGAAGTAACTGAGTTACTTTTGATAGAACTAGTAATGTAACTAAGTTACTACTTTAAAGTAACTTACCCAGCACTGCTCTTCACACTTCTGCCGTCGCAGCCTTGACAGTGTGATGGAGACCAAGGTGCCATTACCTCGTTTGCGTTGTTAGTAATTGATTAATAAGTATAATAAAGAAAACACACATTAGTTCTTATCAATTCTTTATTAGGTTTATTTGATGTAGGATTAAATTGA